CTAGGGCTCCAAAACTAAGCACAGTTACTGTTGAATGGGGAAGGGAGAGGGCAGTCAAATGAAGTGACTTGAAAACTGTTGTTGCCCGTGATAGAAGGCATCAGCCTTCAAGACCATACCCTGCACTGAAGACAATTATATAGTTCTAATACTGAGAGAAGAGGCATTGGGATGCCGACTGAGACAAGCCCTACAAGCTCTGAACCAGCAAATACCATGATTTCAGCCTTTGTGTAATACCACTTTTTTTGCATGTCCACTCATACAAATCTATACTGTTTCTTTCCCCTGAAACCCAGAAGGTGAACACAGATGTGTTTGTGGATAGAATGGTGGTGTGCTGGTACAGCACCATCTAAATGATCTGGCCTGAAATGTGGTCCTGTTCTTCTGAGTCTTCAGGTTTTGCTAAGGCATTTTACCCATCAGAAACTTTTATTTTATTGAATTTCCTCTGGCCTACATTTTTGATATTTAAATTAGTAGCTTTGTAACCTACTGGGGATCCCCGACCCCTTTGGTAATCCATTCAAAATGTTCTTCCTTTTCTACAGCAAAACACACACGCAGGTATACCCACCACATTGAATTTAACCTTTCAGGGAGTTCAAGGATCGCTAAACCTGTCTGAATATGCATTAAAGTGGTTTAAAGAGCTCTGTGGCAACCGATGTGTTCTTCACCTAGCAAACCGATAGCGCTCTTTTTAAACAAAACGTCTTTCAAGGAGGTTAAATTATGTCAGATGCTTTCTGGATTAGGTATAGACTAAGTAAATGACCGGAAAATAAGCAAAATGAATAAATAAATGAAGTCAGACACACCCATAACCTCTCCAGACACGCAGGAACGTGCATGTGATAAAAAAACAAAAAACCCCACAGTTATTGTTGATTTGGTTCAGAGTCATGGTGACCCCATGTGTGTCAGAATAGAACTGGGCTCCATAGGGTTTTCAGTGGGTGATGTTTTAGGTGGAGATCACCAGGCCTTTCTTCTGAGGTGCCTCTGGGTGGACTAGAACCTGCAACTTTTCATTTAGCAGCCAACTGCCTTAAACGTTTGCCCTACCCAGGGGCTTCCTGCACATAAAAAGTATACAGTTATATCAGTATTACTTTGCTAGCACGTGGCAAGCTAGTCAGGTGGCTGAGGCAATATATCAACCTGCATGTGATTAAATTAAATAATATAATTTAATACAATGCTAGTTCTAATACTCTAACAATAACGTTATCAATCTTTAAGTGTTCTAAATGACACGTTGAGTATTTCTGTATTCTTCCAGGGTCAGTTTTTACCTAGGGAAATCATAATAGAAAATCGTCTTTGGTGCTTAAGCCCCTTTACCCTTAGAGAAGACAGCCATGTTGCTGTTTCATATCTGTATTTATTAGCTTTCAGTTGTCACTAAACATTTCAAATCGTGCTCAAATTTCATGGTTTATAATTACATTGTCACTAAACTGCGAGATGTTGGTAGGCTTACAAGTTTTATAACAATGCATTAAGACTTTACGTTCCTTTAAATCTAGATATCACATGTCAAAGTGAAGTTCTCAAAGTGATAACCGTAATTCTTATATAAATAGATACCCTTCATATGTCAAGATTTCATTGAATTCAACCAGCAGGATGACAAAGCCAATTCAAAAGAGAGAGAGAGATGTCTGTATCTTTATCCATGTCTCTATCTTTATGACAATATCTCTCTCTGTAAATCTTGGCACCGGTCCTGACTGAGACCGATTGTTCCTTTATCAGTCATCTAATTGGCAGAATCTGTTGGCGGTGCAATGATTAAGTACTCGGCTGCTAACCGGAAGGTTGGCAGCTCAAACCCACCCAGTGGCTCCTCAGGGGAAAGCCCTGGCGATCTGCTTTGTAAAGATTACAGCCTAGGGAACCCTACAGGGAAGTTCTACTCTGTCACACAGGATTGCTAGGAGTCGGAATCAAATTGGCGGCATTTAACACCAACAAAGAAACCATGGCGGTATAGTGGTTATGTGCTGTGGGTGCTAACCAAAAGGTCAGGAGTTCGAATCCACCAGGCACTCCTTGGAAACTCTGTGGGGCAGTTCTGCTCTGTCCTGTAGGGTCGCTATGAGTCGGAATCGACTCGAAGGCAACAGGTTAACACCAATAACAATTCATATTAGTAACTCAGTTCGCTCAAGATTTCGATTAACGAGCTTGGTCCCTGATCCTTTTTGTCCTGCTGAATTTGGGCCAGCGGTTCTAAAGCTTTACCACCCATCAGACTCACCTGAAAGGCTTGTTAAACCAGATTGCTGACTCCACCCTGGGGGTTTCCGTAGACCCGGGCTGGGGCCTGGGAATGTGCATGTCTAACAAGCCCAGCTGCAGCTTGGAGAACCACTGATGTAAGATAGACTTTGCTGAGGATCTGGAGGGGCAGCAGGAGTAATTAACGAGCCCACAGGGAGTCCATGCCGCCTCTGATGCCTCTCTAACCACTTCTCCTGAGCTAGTCCCATCCCCGTCCTATCCCCTCTGTATGCACAGGACCATCCCCACCTGTGGCTCGGCGTCCAGGCTCAACGCTGCCAGCACAGCTGTGCTCCGCGAGGCCCCCATCACTTGAACATCTAAAATCCCTAGTGAGGGTCAACTCCAGCATCTCCCCACAGAGACCTGGCCTCTCTCCGCCTCATTGGCCCATTTCTGCCTGCCCCTGGTTTTACCACGAGCCAGGGCTAGAATCTTGCAGACCACGTGTTACAAACTAGGAGCATTTTATTGTTTCTCAGTGTAAGGTCATCATTGGCAGAGCTTCTCTTAAACCACAAAAACCAAACCCGTTGCTGTAGGGTCGATTCTGACTCATAGCAACCCTGTAGGACAGAACACAACTGCCCCCAGAGGGTTTCCAAGGCTGTAATCTTTACGGAAGCTGACTGCCACATCTCTCTCCCATGGAGCGGCTGGGGGGATTCAAACTGCCAACCTTTCAGTTAGCAGCTGAGTGCTTAACCACTGTACCACCAGGGCTTTGCTTAGTGGCGAAAATGTTTATTTTCAGAAAACTGGGAATCACAATGGGCTCATTCTTTCCATTTTCATTCTGCAGCTCCCGAGTCAGCTTCTCTGCTGATGGAGCCTGAATTCCCTGTAAGAAAGACAAGCTACAGAGACTCCCAGGCAGAGTTCAGTCAAGCGAGGAGGGTGGTCCTGGCTGTCTCTCTGGGAGGGAGTTTGACCAGAGTGGTGGGTGAGAACTAGGCTTCTGGCAGTCGGGATCGAAATGGGTAAATGAGGATTGGCAGGAGATGATAAACTCAGGCTTCAGAAGTTTGGCAGGACGAGGAAGGAGAGAGCAAGAGAATTCTGAGAAGACGGAGCAGAGTCAGTTGAAGGAAATACAGTTTTGAGAGAGAACCATTTGAAAGCAGATGACTCAGTCAGTAGGTTTAAGGGTGAGGGTTGGGTTTTAATCACGTTACAGAAGTAGACTGAAAAACCAAACTTGCTGCTGTCGAATAGCAACCCTATAGAGGGTCCGTGAAAAGAGGAAGACCCTCAACAAGATGGATTGACACCGTGACTGCAACAGTGGGCTCAAGCATAGCAACGATTGTGAGGATGGTGCAGGACCGGGCAGTGTTTCATTCTGTTGTACACAAGGCCACTATGAGTTGGAATCTACTCGATGGCACCTAACAGCAACAACAGAAGTAAAGTTGGACATTGGGAAGGACTATAGTTCAGAGACTAGATGAAATGGTTCACTTCAGAGAGAAATCTTTTTATCTAAGCCTAGAGGGGAGAATGGGAATACTCGAATCAGAGGATCCTCAGGTCACCTGTTAGAGGGGGAATTGGGGGTCTTAGAGAGAAGTGAGAATCTTCTAGAGAATGCTGAGATAGATGAGCACAGGCTGGCTGGCTCAGTGATGGAGAGGATAATTCCATCATGGGCCGGATTGGCACACCTCTTCTTCCTCCTTGTCCACTCCTCTTTGGTCCGGGTTCAGTGGAGAAGCTGAGAGTGGAGATGGCCTGAACATATGCTGTTGATCTTGATCTCCACGCAGATGAATGGCCTTGTACAACAGGTGCACCTCTAGTCCAAGGAGATGTGACGCTGCATATTGATGGCCTCTGGGTTTTCTTAGTTGCTACGAGTCCAGGCTGGCCACTAGATGAAGCTTGGTTCTTCTCCTTCCTGTGCCAATGGCCTTGTACCTATGTGGAGAACAGAGATATAAATGACACCCAGCTCACAAAGGACAAAAGAGAAATCCCCAGAAGGAAGCAAGCTGCCCAAGTTACATCAGTTATGAATGCTTAATGGAAGAATTGAAAGCCTCCTGGGGTGTTTTTGTGGAAGTGGTTTTCAAAGGTTCTGTGTGAAATGTAAGGAGCCCTGGTGGTGCAGTAGTTAAGCCCTCAGCTGCTAACTGAAAGGTCGGTGGCTTGAACCCACCAGCTGCTCCTCAGGAGAAAGATGTGGCAGTCTGCTTCCATAAAGATTACAGCCTTGGAAACCCTTTGGGGCGGCTCTACTCTGTCCTATAGGGTCACTATGAGTTGGAATCGACGCGACGGTGTGGGTTTGAGTTTGGCTTTTGGTATATCTATCAGAAGAAGCCTTGTTGGCACAGTAGTTAAGAGCTCAGCTGCTAACCGAAAGGTCGGTGGTTCTAACCTACCAGCTGCTCCAAGGAAGAAAGATGTGGCGGTCTGCTTCTGTAAAGATTTACAGCTTTGGAAACCATGTGGGACAACTCTCTTCTTCTCTGTAGGGTCGCTATGAGTTGAAATCAACTCGACGGCAGTGGGTCTGTGGCTACGTGAAATGCTTAGTTTCCAAGGAGAGCCCTATTTCAAGTAAAAGTGGTAGTTGGGTCATCTTACCAGGGCTTTGTTTAGGAAAGACTGCTTACTCTCAGAAACAGGTGGTTTAGTGGAATGTCGGGGAGGGAAGCCTCTCAGCTCACTCCAGTGGAGATGAGGATATATGTGTCTCTTTCCAGGACCACGAAACCTCCTTCCCCAGGGCCCTCTCAGCTCAGAGGCTCTCCCCTCGGTGGTGCTTCCTAGATGGTGAGTGTCTGTATTTCATGGAGGGGTGGGGAATGGGGGCAGCAGGGCAAGGCATCGATGGGTAGAGTGAACTCCAGCTTTCCAGAAGGTTATTCAGAAACCCTTCATGGGGCTCATTTGATTGATATTTGCTTCTCAAACAATGTGGACTTGCTGGCCTCGCAGCTCACTTTTCTGAAGTCAATTCCCTCAGAGCAAGTTGGCTAACTCTGGCTAAACTTCTCAGCATTGGTCCAGTTGACACCTCCCTTTCCTCACCCTCGTTGTTCTAAAACTTGCTGAGTGCTTATTCCAAATTAAGGCCAATAGGTGAATACTGTCGCATGGGATTTGTACTAATTTGAAGTTGTTTGCATATTCTGGACTTTTCCATATTATTTTCATGAGGCCATCATTTCAGGATGATCTATAATTTTTTTAAGTGTAAAAAATTGCAGTTGCTTTCAGATTTGCTCGGCTGAGCATGACACATTGAATACATAATCGGTCAGTTATGTTCTGACTGATTAGTAAGTCCCTGTTCTAACTCAGACATTTCCCACTCTTCTGGACGCTATCTCACCCTACTTCTCTATCCAGTCACCTATTACAATACAGCCCATTCACACTCTTCCTTATAGACCGCCCAATGTATCTGCTCCCCGGTGTCTCTGTTGAGTCTGTGGAGACTGGAGAGCTGACATGCATTGTCTTCCTCTCTGTGGTTTATCTGTGTATGCATCGGGGATGGGTGAACGTGGCAGATGGGTGAGTGTGTAAGCAGTTTTATGAAGATGGGTATGTATATCTCTATGAGATCTAGCCCACATCAATCATGAGACAGTTTTTCTCTCATGATTCATCAACTGTCCCTAAAGCTGGTATGCACTGCATTCCTCCAGCCAGGAGAAAGATATGGCAGTCTACTTCCGTAAAGATTTACAGCCTTGGAAACCCTATGGGGTCGCTGTGAGTGGGAATCGACTCAGCAGCAGTGGTTTGTGGGTTCCTCTAGCCATGAGGACCACAATCACGGGTTGTTCCTAAACCCACAAAGGAACAACATATTTGGAAGAAAATTATAGAAATATTTATGTCAGTTATTCTGTCCTATATACAGTCTCTGAAAAAATACAAGTGTGGATAATGGTCTTAACCCAGATATTAATCTTACCATATGAATTATTGTATGAAAAACCTTTAATTTAAAAGATAATGATTGTTTTAGTGTGCAGTCAAGTTGTTTTCAACTCAGTAGTGTAGAACTCAGAGTAGAACTGCCCTGTAGGGTTGACTAGGCTGTAATCTGTAGAGTAGATCGCCAGGTCTTTCACCCATGGAGCCGCTCGGTGGCTTCGAACCGCCAACGTTTTGGTTAGCAGCAGAGCACTTAACCGTTGCGCCACCAGAGCTCCTTTTTATATATAGGTAATGATAGACTGGTTAAAATGAACAAAATACAGCAAGTCTTTTCTAGCCAGATTTTACTTACCTTTCAGAGGGCACGGACCAAGACTGTCTCATTTCTTTGCTCAGTTCTGTTTAGAGAGAAGCGGTTCATTAAATATTCACGATTTTTAAAGGATTACTTAGCTTTGAGGTTTTCCCTAGTGCTATGCTCTTTTTAGACCATCCATTTATCATTTTTTAGGCTCTGATAGATAAGTGAGGAAGAACATAATTCTTTTTAATGTTCAGACTAATCAGAATAATTTTGAGAAACTCAAAAGTTTGTAATTTAGGTTTTTTTTTTCCCTTAAACCACAGATATGGTCCAATCCCTTTTAGGAATGCTTAACTGATTTTTTTGCGGGGGAGGGTGGGTATTTTGGCTTCCTTCAGTCATGACTCTAGGGACTCAGTTTCAAAGTGGACTGATTCCTTCAAGACCAGCTGTGGTTCTTGGCACTCTTGAGTCTTCAAGGCCTTTTCCTTATGAGAATCACATACCCAGGAAGTCTCCTCTAGCTTTACTTGCTCAATAAACATATATTGAGCCCCAGCTCTGGGTAAGGCCCAGTGCTAACTTCTGCAGTCATAAAAATGAACACAGAGCATCAGAGAGGCAGGTGTGTTAGTCTCAGAGTTACCTGTGAAGATTGTTTCTAGAAGAAGTTATGCAACATAAATGTGCATAGAAGTAGGAACAGTGAATTCCCTGTGGGGCAAGGAGGTAGGGACTGGGGAAGGTTTCACAGGGGAGATGACATCTGATTGGTCCTTACAAGACAACTGAGATTTAGATAAGCAGACAGGAGGGGAGGGGCTTTCTCAGCAGGGGGGAACCGCCTGGAAGTGCTGAGCTGTTGTTAATAGATTCAGGGGCTGACCAGTAGTCCAGAGAGGTGAGGCTTCTGATGGCAAAGTGGAAGAGAAAGCTGTAAAACTGGTGCTAGATCACAAAACACTGTGAATGCCATATTCATTCACTCATTCATCTTATTTTTCTAGCTACTTCTGCTGATCGCTTTTATCGAATAGACAGATCTCAGGTGAGTTTTGCTTGTGAAAGTGGGAAGTTCCCATGTAAATCTACTTAGTTACCTCACACCGTACATTTTTCCAAAAAAAAAAAAAGCTGAAACATATACAAATTTTGGAATGGTATTCGTTCCTCCACTGCCTACACTGTGAACCTTCTGCCTCTTTTCAGGTGTTGTTGATCTGTGGACTCAAGATGGTATAGCTTGACCTTGGAAATGAGTCCAGAAAAATAACTAGGCTTGTGAACGTTGTTAACTAGCCTGCAGTCCAAATTTTCATTCATGCTGGTACTTTTACTGCTTCCTAGCCAAACTTTATGCCTTTTAAATTCGTTTCTGGTTATCAAGTCTGAGACCAAAAGTGTATAATCTGGGCTAGTAGGTTCATTTAATCAATCCTCATAGTTCAGTAATGAGAAAAAGATGGTTACACCCAAAGTTAACACGTGTTTCCAGTGTTTAAATTCTCCTAGGAAAAAAAAAGTGCAATGTTGAACCCAATTATAAAACCAGTTGCCCACCATAACACTTGGCCTTGACCAGATCCTGGGATGGAAGTCCAGGGTCTCTTACACTCGTGTGGACCGCGTTGCATGTGTGGTGTTTCTTCTTCCAAGTATCTGGGGAGAAGAAGATGCCAGACCATCTCTGGTTACCCCTAATGGAGGTCTAGGTCAAATAGGAATCCTGAGCCAACAGGGATTCAGCTCTGACAATACACCTTGGTCAGTAGACATGCCACAGAATTTTATGATTCCTCAAGACCAAGAGTGCTTTGCTCCATTATTCTTCCGATAATGAACCTGAAATTCTGTCAGTCATCTGATGGACTTCTTTTCCTTCCTTAGGAACACTTGCACTTTGTGATGGAGATTTCCCAAGATGAGATTTTCATTCTGGACCCAGATATGATGGTGTCCCAGCAGGCGGGGACAACTCCGGGGATGCCCGACCTGGTGGTGGAGCAGGCCTCGGGGTGAGTGGGCTGCTCCTTGCTGGTGTGGGGTGAGGCGGCCACAGGGTGACAGCTGGGCCTGGCTTGGACTTGATGTTCTCGTGACATCAGGCCATTTTAGAATATAGATTTTCTTGTTGCGTTTCCTTAGCGTGGGTATAGCTGCTTCCATTGTAAGTCTCTCTTACAAACAGCTGTGTAGAATCACTCTTTCCACCCAGAGTTGTATCTTGTCTGAGCCTTCTTTATCTACTGCACCAACACTTCCAACAAATCTAGAAAATAGTACCACTGGCATGTGTGCATACATGTCTATAAGCCGCCATGTTTTCCAGTCTGACAGTTGTTTTTTCTTTCCTCCTTCTCCTTCTCCTCTTGTTCATCTCTCCCTCCTCCTCCTATTTGCAGGCAGCCCAGCACATACAGATTGCAAAACAATAGTTATGATTTTTTAGGCACTCTTTATGAGCTAAACATTGTGCTAAATGCCCTTTATGTGTCTCTACCACTACTTGTCACTTATCCAGTTGTATCTAGTGCCTGGCACATGGTAGACACCCATTAAATATTATGCTATTAAAATGATGATGATCATCATCATCATTCCTCAGTGACCCTGCAAGTTTGGTACTATTATTATCCCAAATCCATACAGGCACACTGAGGCTGATAGTTGAAATACAGAGTTCCTTGGAAAGCACACAAGTGTGCACTCAGATGACATACACGAATTGGGTACACATCTACCGTATAACTGGTACAGTCACTTGAAGTAACTCCTATCCCTGTTTCCCCCTATTCATTAATTTAATTGACCACTGCTACTATTCATGAATGTCTCCTGCTCTGCCAGGGCCAGCTGATGTCCATGGTATGTGCTGAGCTTGTGAGGATTAACAGGGGGCAGAAATGGCAGCCTGGAGCAAGTCTCTGGCTGTGCTGAGGAAAGTGGCAGTGGTGTCAGGGCTGTGTGGCATGAAGGAACAGATGAACAGACACAAGGTGGCCTGATGGAACCCTAGGTGTTCCAGAAGGTGGTGGAGAAGGCCAGTTCCCCAGGCTGTGTGCTATAAATCCAGCCCGAGGCTCGCGGGGAAAGGAAGCATGGTAACACATCCTGCTGTGGAAGTCTCAGGTGCTGGAATGTGGGTGTCCTCCCACCCCATCTGATCCGGCCTCGAGTGCTCAATCTGATAAAGGATGACCCACCCTGCCACTTGATTGAATTAACTGATTTGTGCCTAATTGATTGAATGAACAAATCGGTCTTGGAGGAAGTACAGCCAGAATGTTCCTTGGAAGCAAGGATGGCAAGACTTCGTCTTGCTTACTTTGGACACGTCATCATGAAAAACCACTTGCTAGGAAACGGCATCATATTTGGTAAAAAAGAGGGTCAATGAACATGCAGGAAACCCTCCATGAGACGAATTGACATAGTAGCCTCAACAATGGACTCAGTCATACTAACAATTGTGAGGACAGCGAAGGACCGGGCAGTGTTTCTATCTGTTGTCCGTGAGGTCACCATGAGTAGGAGCCAACTCTACAGCCACTGACGCCACCACTACCACCACCACCACCCCACTGCCAAGGTAGCCCTGGCCTTTGCCCTCTCAGTCACTCCCTTCATGTCAGATAATGACCAAAAGAAATGGCCTCGTCCTGGGTTAGACATCTATTAGCTCCAACTCCAAAGAAAAGGTAGCCTGAAAATCCACTAGAACTTGAATCAGTCATTTTCTAATTTCTCATCTGTTGCCCTCTCTGGAAATAAAATAGGAACAGAAAAGCAGGAAGAGAGGCTGAGCTTTGTTATTTTCTAATCTGCGTTTTTCTGCCAGGCTCCCTGACTTCTTTACTTGTGTCCCACAGAAAATCACTGAATCTTGAAATCCGGGTTTCTCATCCGTAAAGTGGGCAGAATCATACACATAGTCCATGATTGTTGAGAACATTAAATGCAATAATGAGTGTAAAGTACTTCGTAACCATACAAGAGTCATTTTCCGTCTCAACTTTAGAGACAAGAAAGGGTAGAGCACGTCCTGTGGATGACTGTGGATGCTTACCTGTTGGATGTCCTTCTTCCTTCTTCTCAGGAAGTCAGACTGGTGGAATCCTGCCCTTCGGAAATGCATGCTGAGCGACAGTGGGCTGGGAATGATAACTCCCCATTATGAGGACTCGGATGTGAGGGATCTCAGCTACTCCCGCGTGCTACAGTAAGGGTTCTCTACTCTTCCTACGTGCTACCGTGATTGCTGGTAGAGGATGCTCCTGGGGTGCTAACCACCAGGAAAGGTTCTCTTTTCAGGGGTGCTCAAGCTGTCTTAGGTCTATGTCACTCTAGGGGTTGGCGCTTTTTTGCACCTTGCTCACTTTTATCCATCCCTAGCTCCATTAGGAGCTTCGCCTTTCTTTCTCTTGCTCCTGAGCCATGCTGAGCCTTGCATGTGGCTCTAGAGACACTGTAAACCTCACCAGTGTTTTCTTTCCTGGAGTCTTGGGTTTACCTGGGGTCCCTGTGGTTGTCATATGATGAAGACAAGCATGATGGTGATCATGAATGGTTTGGAAACGACATATAATTTTTCATTTATGTTGACATGTTTCCTTGTCACTCTAGCTCTATTTCATTTGTCTTAAGTCCAGAGCCCGGGTTTATGGGCTCTAGGCAATAAGTTTGTTTATTGTGGTAAGTATACATGTAACAAAACATTTGCCATTTCAACATTCTTCACGTATACAATTTAGTGACATTAATTGTGATCATCATGTTGTGGAACTATCACCACTATCCATTTCCAAACTTTTCCATCACCTGTAACCGAGCTCAGTGTCTCTTAAGCAAGGACGCCAGTTGGTTTTGTTGGCTACAGTGGAGTGCAGCTCGTGTTGTGTTCTGGTCTCTGTGGGTAAACAGTATGCTGGTTGTTCCTGGATGAGAATAGTTGGAATGCTTTCTTCGGAGGCCTGATCATCATCAGAAAGTAGGATGGTGTAGGTATTTTGTAGCAGGGCTGGCATGTTCGTGTTGAGCGAATCCTCCTCCTGCTTTCCCTCACTGCAGGAGCGGGTTCTAGGAGCAGTCTGCGGTCACAGTCCTGCTCACTCACGCACACCGCTTAGCTTCAAGCCAACCACCCCATCTCAGAGGTCATACAAGGTCACTGCAGTTCCTGAAATTAAGCCAGTTCCCAGTCTATCTGGGGTCATTATGGAATAGCAGTCTTAGCTGTTTCACAGAGTAATAAGATTAATGAAGATGGAAGATGGTACATTGTTTCTCGTGAAGTCAGGAAGTAATTTCTGCATGACCAAGGGGAGGAAAATGAGGAATGGGAAGCTAATGATTCCATTGGCAAAGGTTCTTCTCAGACACCCCTTGGGCAAGAGGCCTTCATTCCAACTGCTCCTCTGTACTGCCTCTTACTTTGTTGCATAAAGAGGAGAAAGGAAAAATGCACTATTATGGATTTTCCTTTTTATTTAAACTGTGTTGTTAGTTTCTGATGGCATTTTGATTGCTTACAATTCAGGGTGTTTTTCCATTTCCTCTTGAAACAGAATTGAGGCTTGATACGGCTGAGTCAGCCACCCACTGCTGACTAGAAAGTCACCGTCTATCTGCTGGCAGACTTATTTGAAAATTAGTGTTTTAAATGGCTACTGAAATAGAAATTAAGCCTGGACCAACAAAATGAGTGTTTTAGTTGTTGTTATATACAGGGTGTTTGCAAAAAGTGAAGTATGGTCAGAACCTAGTCCCGATACCTGATTTTTCTATGCAGAATATAGTAATGCACATATCATGACATGTGGAATGATATTACATATTAAGGTTAAATGCTAAGTATTCTCCCAAAGAATCACACATCAGTTTACTACCGTATATTATAGCCAAGTTCTTAAAACCCTACATCACAATCAATGTTTACACTTTATTTGGGTTCTATTATCCTTTCAGGAATTTATCTTCCCTTCTGATTGATCTTCAGTCGGCGGCTATCAGTTTATCTGGTCATCTACACTACCTTTGCTCAGCAGTTCACTAGCGGACGCTTACTCTTCACAAGTTTTCTGTAAAATCACTTGGAAAACAAACAGAAGAAAGCAGATAAGCACCCCTCGCCTTTGAGGGTTTCCAACTGTTCCCCGGACATTGTGGAGCAGAGACACACTGCCCCCACTGGGCTCTGGGGGAGTCCCTGACCCCCAGGATGCAGGAGCATATGAAAATGGTTGTTTTTATCCACTGGGGGCGGAATTTAAAGACTTTACCCCAATTTTTTCATTAATTCTCTTTTATATTTTTATCACTGTGCCCATTAATTCCTTAGGAAGAACACCTCCATTTCCTTCAGAGATCATTGTTGATACAAATAGGTGCAGGTGTGATTATGCACGTATCTAATGACATCAATAATCGCTACTGTTGGTGGAGTAACTCCTAGTTGCTTTTTACTATAGTTAAACATTACCTCTAATCCTTTCAACAACTCTTCAAGTTAGCTGTTGCATTACAGATGAGTAAACCGAGGCTCACAGAGGTTAAGGACTTATCCAAGGTCACCCAGACAGCAAGAGTCTTCATTGTGGTTTGAACTCAGGCCCAGTGGATTTCCATGTTTTTCCCACTACACTGCACTTCCTTCTGAAGGGACAGCACAGAGACATTTGGTAATGGACAGGACAGGCGCCTGAGCCCAAGACATGTACTTGAGTTTCTATTTCTTTTAGTATTTATACTCTGCAAGATTCTATACTATATGATATATGTACATATCCATATATATCCAGCTGCTAACCGAAAGGTTGATGGTTTAAGTCCACCCAGTGGTGCCATGGAGGAAAGGCCTGGCAGTATACTTCTGAAACATCGGCCACCAAAAATCGTATGGTGCTGTGGCACACGTGAGGTCACCATGAGTCAGAGTTGACTTGGTGGCAGCCGGTTTGGTTCTATATTTGCACATTAACTGTATGATAACAAATTTACCCAAAAGTAAATATGGCTGAGCATTAACTTTAAAGCAAAAAAAAAAAAAAAGTAATTTTTTGATTGAAGCAAAAATAATGATGGTAGAATCCTATATAAAAATTATTAAATATATGTTAAATATGTCCCAAATCCAAATAAGTATAAAAATTATATAAAAGTTAGCACTCTGATGAACCATGTTGTTTTGCTATATTTGCATTAGCTCTTTCTTTTAATCTATAAATAGCATGCAGTAGTAGAAAACATATAGCATGGTTTCATTTCATTCGTTCATTTATTTATCTTATTTTTCGTCACCTTTATCATTTCATTCATAATATTTTTGAAATTCACCCATATTGATATATGCTGGGTTTTAATCATTTTATTTGGAAGAAAATATTCCATCATAAATATGCCATAATTTACTTCTCCATTTTGCTATTGATTTCTAATATGCTATTATTTTTTTTTAAAATGCAGTGAACCTCCTGGTATATTCTCCTTCTGTATTACAGGGCGTATATGCAGTTTCAGTTTGATTCCATGTGGCCAAATTTACCTTCCCAGCAGGAGTATTTGACAGTTCCCAAGTGAAAAGGGCCTGAAAAATCAGTGTAGTATTTTAGGTACAATTTGTACCTGTTGCTTTCAGCTTTAAAACCCCAGTCAGCTAGGAGATAGGGAAAGGTCACCGCTAACATCCCGCTAACCGTGCTGAATAACCCGCTCTATAAAAAGAAATCAAAAGGGAAATTTTTTTTTTTTTTTAAACAACGTAAATTTATCGTCTTAGAGTTCTGAAGGTCAGAGATCCAAAATGGGTGTCAGGGCTGCATTCTTTTCTGGAGGCTCCAGAGGAGAATCTGTTTTCTTGCCATTTCCTGCTTCCAACTTCTAATCAAAGCCTTGCTCCAGCTTCACGTTCTCAAAAGGGAAATTTTAAGTTCTTAGAACTAAAAACACTCTTTGCCAGGATTTGCAGAACACCGATAAAGTGGTACACAGAGGACAATTTCTAGCTCTCCAGTCATTTATCAAGGGACACATGATTGCATACAAATCAGCAAAGCATTCAAGTTGATAAACTGGAAAAAGAATCCCAGAGTAAAGAACAAAGAAACAAAAAGGCAGGGGGAAAAAAGAAAAAAAGATAAGGACAGAAAATCAATGGCAGGGGGACTAAAACAAACAAAATAGATGATTCACCAAAAATAAAATTAAAAAAATGATTCTCTGAGAAGGTAAGTAAGCCACACAAAATTTGGAGGAGACAGGTTGAACAAAAAGACATGGGGAGCAGGAAGGAACAAATTACAGACTTCCCCGAGCCCGTCCTTCCTCAGGGGCCTCATTCCAGTTGGGCTTGGGGCTGCCTCACCCCTGCAGTCTCCAGCTAGCCCAGTCCCCTCTGGTCTTCTCAGCGTTTCCTCCTAGTTTTAATTAACTTTAGTTTCTCACACCATCAATCTCCCTCCAACGTCAGGGAGGGTGAGAGGGAATGAACAAGCAGTCTGTGTTAGTTTGCTATCTTTGGTGGAGTCAGTTCCATTTATATCAAAATTCCATTCAGATATAGCTTGTACTTCTTTAGGAATTTTGTTGTTAGGTGCTGTCAAGTCAGTTCAGACTCATAGCGACCCTACGTACGATAGAATGAAACCCTGCCCAGTCCTGCGGCATCCTCACAGTCATCGCTATGCTTGAGCCCATTGTTGCAGCCACTGTGTCAGCCCATCTTGTTGAAGGTCTTCCTCTTTTTTGCTGACCCTCTACTTTACCCAGCATGATGACCTTCTCCAGGGACTGGTCCCTCCTGACAACATGTCCAAAGTATGTGAGATGAAGTCTCACCATCTTTGCTTCTAAGGAGCACTCTGGCTGCACTTCTTCCAAGATAGACTTGTTTGTTCTTCTGGCAGCCCATGGTGTATTCAGTATTCTTCACCAGCGCCATAATTCAAAGGTGTCAATTCTTCGTTAGTCTTCGTTATTCATCGTCCTGCTTTCACATGCATATGAAGTGGTTGAAAACATTGCTTGGGTCAGGCGCACCTTAGTCCTCAAGGTGAACTCTTTGCTTTTTAACACTTTAAAGAGGTCTTTTGCAGCAGATTTGCCCAATACAATATGTCATTTGATTTCTTGACTGCTATAATTTAGAAATTATATACATAGGAGCCCTGGTAGGGCGATGGTTAAATGCTCGGCTGCTATCCTAAAGGTTGGATGTTAGGTTCA